CACGAGCCTCTACCTGACTTGGGCCACATTCATTTCCTTGGAACAGGCTCCAACTGCCATTCTGTTCACAGGGGGAGGGAAATTGGTCCAGACCACATGTCTGCCCTGCGGCACCAAGATCCCTTTCCAAAAGACCCTGTTGTTAGATCGGTGCTGTGCGAGGAGATGGGGGGATGCCCAGGGAGAGGCATTCAAATTCAGATCAGTCACCCTTAGTCCAAACCTTTTCAAATAAGTACAGACCATGGAAGCCAAAGCAGCAGTGCCACGTCCACGAGGTCTCTTGAAGGAGAGAGGCAGCATCAGTTACCAACACCAGGTGCTGGTGTGGGTGGGAGGCGGTGTCCCCAGGGCATGGCTACCTGGGACTTCACGTTGAACTCAATGCCACACTGCTGGGTTTCCCCAAGCCTCGGCTTAGCCAGGAACACGGTCCCCACGCTGAGGAGCAGGACATTGGTGCTTCTTCCACAGGGGGCAGTGGGTGGGTGGAAGACAACTTCCATCAGACCTTCTTGGAGGAGGAATGTGGTCACGGCGCCCACAGGCGCCCACAGGCACCCTCGGCGGTGGACACTGGGCATTACTGACTTTTTTGAGCAGCCTAATAGTGACATGGGTGAAAAGCACCAGGGACTACCAAGGGAGTAGCCTGGCCCTTGCGGGGGACCTCTGGCACCCCCAGACTTCCCCAGTGCAGGGTGCCTGTGGGCTCTGCCGCCCACTGGTCTGCACCTGCTGTTCCTCTCCCAGGGTGAAGCCTGCTGGGAGCGCTAACGACGTGGCCCTGGATGCCTTAGATCTGGACCGGATGAAACAGGTGAGTGTCTCCTTTCCTCAGGGCTGAGCAGCCAGCAGGCACGCCCAGGGGGGCCACAAAGGCAGGCAGGGAGCAGCCAGAGGAGGAAAGGGGGTGCCCATGTTCATAGTTTGTCCCCAGCTCCTGCTGTCACCAGAACAAAGTGATCCTCCACCTTCTGGTCCCCCCAGCCTGTCTCAGGGGGCCTCTCCCATGGGACAGCCCTGGGTTTCACCAGTGTGCACCTTAAGAGTGGTGGAGCATCTGCCCCCACACCCCATACTGTCCTTCCCCAGCTGGGGACGCACCAAGGGCTGCGAAGGGCAGGGTGAGGGCGAGACCCCCGGCCCTTCACCTGGAGGCTCTGCCCACAGGAGATCCTGGAGGAGGTGGTCCGAGAGCTCCACAAGGTGAAGGAGGAGATCATCGACGGTGAGTGGGCTGCGCGGGCAGCACTGTCACTGGGGCCCCATGGTGGAGTGTCCTGAGAAGGGGCAGGGTTGTGCAAGGAGCAGGGAAGGCAGTGCTCCTGCCAGCGGAGGTGGGGCCAGGGCCCCTTGTCCCCCCAGGCTCTGGTTGTGGGGACCCAGGCTCAGGAGAATCGAGTGGTTTGCCTAAGAACACCACCTCCCCGGGCTGCTGGAAGATGGGCCCTGGTCCCTGGGGGAAGCCCAGCGGATATTCCAGACTTCTCGTTCTTTATTTCATTATCTGTCATTGACATTGCTCTCTGGCCTGCCACCTCCAGTCACTGGTTTTGGAGTTCTGAGGGCTGCTGCCTTCCTGGGAGGGGTTGCTGGGAGCCAGGAGCTGAGCGCCACCATAGCCTGCCTGGCCCCAGCAGCCTCTAGCCCCAGAGCAGGGCGGGTCCCGTGACATCCGCCCAGGCCTTTGAGGAGCTGTCTCAGATCTGCAGCCAGAGGAAAGGGGAAGCTTGGGCAGGGCTGGCTGGCCCAGGACAGAGCGGCAAAGTGCAGCCTGCGCCACCCCCACCGGCTGTCCCCTCCAGGAAGGTGAAGTCTCAGGCTGGGTGGCTGGCTGTGGGCCCCAGGGCATCAGCAGTGACCTGGACGAGAGAGTCCTCTGAACTCAAAAGTGGCAAAGGCTGATGGCAGACTCCAGAGGGCAGAGGGTCCGTGGGGGGCCGCAGACCCAGGCCCCTCCTGCTGCCTGGTCCTGGATGTTGGCTCCTGGGCCCAGGAGGTCTGTCCGGGGAGAGGCCAGAGTTGACACGGAGGACACCAGAGGCCCTGGGAGGATGTGGGGAGGGCTTGTGGGGGCGCAGGAGAGGAAAACAAGCTGGGGGCAGCTGGAGGAGGCGTGCACAGAGTCAGGACCCAGCAGTCAGCAAGGTCTCCTGCTGCCACTGGGGAGCGCAGCACATGGCGCCCACTTTGTCAGGGAGGGTCCCAGGTCCTCTGAGCAGACCCAGATGCCACCCATCCAGACCCTATGAAGACGCCTGAACCTCAGCACACAGGGCAGTCCCCCACCCTGCCCCGGAGAGCCCTGCCCCACTCTGAAGCTGAGGCATCAGAGAGGCCTGGCCATTCCAGACCCCAGCCAGCAACTTCTGTGCCAGAGCAGGTGGTGGCAGCAGGGACGGTGGCAGGAGTGGCCTGTGAGACCAGAGACCTATGCCAAAGCTGCCAGTAGGCCGCGCCCTGTGTGGCCTCTGGCAACCCATGGGGGCTTCCAGCAGCCCGGACAGGTCCACGGGGTGTGGCAGGCTCCCCACGGCTGCCCCTGAGCCTCCCTCTCTGTCCTGTCCCTCAGCCATCAGGCAGGAGCTGAGTGGGATCAGCACCACGTAAGGCGACCACCACCCGGAGGACAGCAAGGAGCCCCCGCCCGGCCTCCAGCGCACATGGAGCGTGGGAGCCAGGATGCGCTCCACCTAAGTCTCAGCCTGTGATCAAATTCAAAACGAGGAAACAAAGTTCAACTCCTGGATTTTTTTAGATTCTATCTGACACAGAATACCAGGTCTATTCTCTTTTTTTGTATTTTATATTTGCTTATTTAAGTGTACATTTCTTTGGTTTATAGAGGACACCCCCAAATCAACTGCTTCATTAGATGGTTTCCAGGTTTCCTCCAGGTGACGCTGTGAGCCCCTGAGCTGGCAGCGAGGGGCCGGCTGGGCTCGGCATCCCGCACAGCACGGCCACCCAGCCAAGCTCCGCCCCAGCACCTCGGTGTTGTCTGTCCACGCACCACGTGTTATGTCCACACAGTAATAAACCACTTACTGTCCACACCATGGGCTTTGGCTTTCACTGTCTCCGGCTCCAGGTTGCCCTGGTTGGGGACGCCCCTTTTCAGGGAAGGGGCCAGGGCCAGGGTGTGCAGCAGTGAGAGCAGCAAGAAGGGCCTCCCTTGGGAGCTAGGCTCAGTCAGAACATCCCCGGGACCCACGGGGTGGGCCGGGACGTCTTGGGCTCCACCCCCAGATGTTCTGGGGCCTCTGGTCCTCCTGAAAGGAGCCACACGCCCCAGGCCCCCAGCTGACAGGCCCTCAGCCCAGCCACTGCCTGGACCACCACAGGGACGTGTGCTGTCTGCACCGCAGGGTCTGGAGGATGTACCTGCTCAGGTGGGGAAGTGGGCGCCAGTAGGGAAAGCCACCCCCACCTGCCATACAGGCTCCCCTGCGCCTCACAGAGGACCCTGGCCTGGGGTGGCAGCGGGGACAACCCACGCCACCCGGGGTGCATCCCCAGCACTAGCTCTCCATTGCAGCCAGGGCAGGGTCTGAGCCTTGACTTGGGGGACCACCATCCATGAGGCCAGGAGCCCAGGCAGTGATAGGCCTTGATGTCCTGGCCACCATCCCTCAGGCCACCCCATGTGACTCCCCGCCCCACCCCAGATCCCACCTCAGGCCCAGCTACTCTCGGGGCCCAGCCTGGCTGATGATGAGAGGCCTGGTCCTTGAGGTACTGTATCTCACTGGGGATTCCCGAACCCTCAAAGACAGGCGCGTGGTTGTTCTGCCAGCAGGAGTAAGAAGCCCGGCTCTGGGAGGCAGGGGCTCCCACCCTCTCCCTGCGCCCCCTTGACACTGCGTACTCAGGGCCGTCTCCAGAGGCACCCCCAGGGTCGGGACGGGCCAGGCTACTGATAGGCACTGCCTGGGGGACATGTGCTGGTGGAGGGGGCAGAGGTCAAAGGACTGCTGTGGGTGGGATGGGGGCTGGACTCCCCCCAGGTCCCCTTGGCCCTTGGGCAGGCTTGTGTGCACAGGGAGGGGCTGCCTGCCCAGGCTCAAAGTCCTCCTGTCTCAGAAAGAGCCTTTGGCCCAGGCCTTGTCCCCGCAGTATCTCAGCAGTCAGACCACTCGGGGACACCTGTGCCAGGCACCAATGAGGCCACTCCCAGGCAGAGGGCAAGGACTACAGCAAGCCCTGCTTCCGCCTCCATCCCAGGTCAGCAGCAGCCCTGCCGCCTGTCGGGTGGTCCCTGGCTCAGCCGGCCCCACAGCCTCACCCCAGCGCTTAGGGGGTGCTCCATGGCTGAGCCCACACCCGTCTCTTTGTGGAGGGAGGGCCTCACCCAGCACCCGCTGCTGCCTGCCTGCTGTAGACACCATGTCACACTAGCCCAGCCCCAGGGCCAGGGTGCTGACCAGAGGGCTACCTCCCTAGTCGCAGCTGTGCCATTGGTTGCTCCACAGAAAGGACAGAGGTACATGTCCCCACTTCACACAGACACCAAGGACAGTACCCAGCTTGCTGCCCTCGGGCTGTGGTTCACTGTGTGTGTGTGTGTCTGTCCAGCCACCCATCTGTCCTTCTGGCCGGGGCCTGCTCTGCAGAGCTGTCTCGGCTGATGGGCCTGAACCTCTGTGGGCTTGGGAAGCTTCCACAGCGCTAAGGGCCTGAGGTGGAGCACAAGTTGGACAGGTCCAGGGGGCCAGGCTGAGAGCTCAGCCAGGGTGGGAGGAGCCACGGGTCCCCAGTCTGCTGCTGTGATTTCAACATGTGCAGGGCCTTCTGCCGTCCATGCACCTGGAGGTCACTATCCACAGGAACACTGCCTGAGGCCACCACCCAACCAACTCAGTAAAGGGGTTTCAAGTTGGAGCTGGCCAGGAGGGGCGCCACTGAGGCACAGGCACCGCCTGCCTGGGTCTGGGGTCTTGTCTTCTGGGAGCCAAGCTGGGGCCAGGACCACCCCCTCGGAAGCACAATGCACAGACTGTGAAAACAAGCACTGGGTTTAATTTAGGGCACAAGAATCCAGAGAAGTCAGCTCCGTGAGGATCATGGGCCCAGGACATTGAGCCCTTGCCCATTGAGCCCAAAAAGGTCCACTGAGAGTCCCTGTGCAGACCAGGACGCAGCCTGGGCCCACTGTTGACAGGCATGGCTGCTGATGGCAACTCCCAGGGCTCTGGGGACAAAAGCCAGAATCAATGCAGCCAAACCCGTCTGGGGCACTGCCCATGGGCATGGGGGAAGCAGCAGCCAGCCGAGCAGTGTGGGCAGGGTCAGGTCGCAGGCTCCCTGGCAGGGCTCATAGGCGGTCCTCTGCCAGCTTGCACACCCGCTTCACCCTGGCATAGGGCCCCAGGGAGTCCTCGAACACAAAATCCCAGAGCACCTTCACCCACGAGTGGTGCTGCGGCAGGTGGTCGTAGTACTCGGGCGCAATCTTCCGCACCTGTAGAGAGGGCAGGGGTCAGGGGCCAGCCCCGGCCACCCACGCAAGCACACGTGCACACGCACACCAGCGTCTCCCAGGGTGCTGGAGTCCGACTGGCCTCCAAGCTCAGCCCACGTGGCACAGGAGCCCTGCCTGGCCCACAGCAGGCACCCCTCCATGGCTGCTCTGTGACTCTTGGGTCCTGATTCTGGCTCTGCCCAGGCAGGCACTGCCCTCTGGGAGCCTGTGCCTCCCCCTCTGTAAAATGGGGACAGTGAACAAGGGCACCTGCTCAGGGGCTGTGGAGGTTGTAAGTGAGCCAGGGTCCATGCACAGCCCAGCCACCGCCTCCCGGCTGCACTCGCAAGAGCCTTCTCACGCACAGAGGCCCCGGGTACACACACAGCCTCACGCTCAGGCCCCACCTGCTGCCCGCTGGGTCACCTCAGTTCTTTCTGACCAGACAGATGCTATCAAAGCACCAGCCAGAGCCGGCCGAGCTGGGGAACAACGAGGACTCCTCCCCCACTTCTGCCCTTCCTCCTTTCTCGCTCGAAATTCTCCAACTCCGGGCCCAGGGCTCCAGGGAGAGGCCACCAAAGGTTTCCCCTCCCTACAGCCGAGCCACACCCCTTAGGTTGCAAAGCACAAGGCCCACCCTGTCCTGACTGGCCAGCTCTGGGCCAGGAGGGCCCCTGTCAAAGCCATGACAAGACATGAGCAGGGACAGGGAGTCAGGAGACAGGAAGCACAGAGCCTCCCGTGGAGAATCGCTAACACAGCTGAGAAAGAGAAATATGAAGCACAGAGAGGGTGAGTGACTTGCCCAGAGACACAGCGCATGAATGTCACAATAGGGTGCAAGCCTCCTCTCATTGAACCAAGCCCCTAACTGTAACACTCCTGAGACTCCACCCTCCCTGGATTTGCCCCCTTACTCTCCAGCCTGGCACTTGCATGTGTCTTGTGACCTTTCCATTGCCCTGGAGACCACAAATGAGAGTGACCATCTCCTGAGCAGCATAGAAAGGATAAAGCACCTGGGTTTGGCCCAGGGCCTCTCGGGGCCCCCTCCTCACATGTCTGTCCGGCCCTTGCCCCCCAGCCCCGCCTGGGCCCAGCACCTACCAGGGGCAGGTTGCAGCCCGGGATGCTGGGGAAGTCGTGGTGCTCCATGTGGTAGCCCACGTTGAAGGTGATCCAGTTGAGGGGCCCGTAGTAGGAGTAGGTCTCGTGGCCCTTGAGGAACATGTAGTGCTCGGCCACGAAGTGGCCCGAGATGGGGTGCAGGCCCAGGCCCAGCAGGGAGCTGGCCAGAAGGTAGGCTACAGGCTTGATGCCCCAAAGGGCAAAGATGGCGGCGTCGACCAGCAGCTGCACCAGGGTGTTGAGCACCTCCATGCGGGTCACGGCCTTGGGGTTGACACAGAGCGGCCGCAGCGAGTAGAAGAAGGGCTGCAGCACCAGCCACAGCAGCTTGCGGGCCGGCGTGCAGAAGAGCCAGCCCTCCAGGCGCGTGGGGATGTCCACATCCAGCCCATCGCCACCCAGGTAGCGGTGGTGGTCCACGTGGTACTTCTTGAAGGAGGCCGCGTAGGGCACGCCCACGGGCAGGTTGGCGAAGATGGCGAACCAGCGGTTGTGGGCAGGGCGGCCGGTGCCGAAGGCAGTGTTGTGGGAGATGTCGTGGATGGCCAGCGTCAGGGAGTGGTTCACGCAGCCGCCAAAGGCGTAGGCCCAGAAGAAGAGCCAGCGCCAGGCCAGCCCCTGCACCAGCCAGCAGGCCAGCAGCTGCAGCAGCACCAGCCCTGTCACCGTCCACTTGATATGTGGGTCTGGCCGCATCAGGTCCTTGATGGCCGGGTACTTGGCTGCAGTGAGACAGGGAGAGCAGGCGGCTCGGTGAGAGAGCTCGGGCCGGCTCCACCCTCCCTGTGCTCTTCCAGCACCTTCCATCCGGCCATGCCCCTCCCTCTCTCCTTCCACCCATCTAGCAGCCCACGCCCTCAAGGATGCCTAGGAGGGATGGGCCACCCTGGCACCCAGGAGTACCCAGCCTGAGGGGACGCAGAAGCAAGGGACCTGCCACCCCTCCCCTGGGGGTCTGGGGAATTTGCCACCAGCCTAAATACAGGGCAGGGGTCACCACGGTCCCAGAAATGCCAGAAATCAGAGCCACGGCAGAGCCAGGAGCCACCTGCCCCGAGAGCCCCTGCTAAACACGCACCTCTGTGCTGTGGCTGCGGGGCCAAGACACAGCACAGCAGAAGGACGACATGGACTGGTCATCCCCAAACTCATCAGGCCCCTGGGGGTGGCCACGGGGGGGGAACTGCAGGACTCCTGCTTGGTCTTGAAACAGACCGGATTTGGACACCCTCTGAATTAAGAGGAACTTCCGCTGTGACCCCTGCCCCCAAACCCTGACAGGGGCCAAGCTGGGAGGGAAGACGGCAGATGGCCCCCGAATCTGCGCGTGTCCGCTTCCTGCCTTCCCCTCGCTGGCCTGCAGCTGCCTCCTAGGCTTTGAAAGTCCTGCTGCCCTTAGGAGTTTCAGAGACGGAGCTTTTGAAACAATCAAGTTTCTTCCATCTTCTTCAAAGCTGGCTTTGATTAAAACCTATTTTTCTATCAATTTGACTCCAAATATTTCTGGAGCCAGGAGCAGAGCAGCTAGCCCCTTCCCTGGGCGGGCGGATCCACCCAATAACAGCCCCGAGATCTTAAAACAAACAAGAACTGCAGGAAATATGATAAAGGGTTGAAGGCATGTGTTTGGGGCCTTAGGTGCTTATTAGAGATCTTTTGTACTTTTCTGTATTTTGTTTTACAGAAAAGAAACAATGTGAGTGGGAGGAGGCCACCCAGGCCAGGAGCGGCAGCCCTGCAGGACCGGGAAGGTGGGTGCCCGGTCCCCGGGGCAGGACAGCTCTGCCTTCTGGAGACCTCTGCGGCTGCTCAGCTGGAGGAGCCAAGGTTCAAGGCAGACTGCAGGAGCTGGGTGCAGGGCTGGGGTTCATCACGTACTCAGGGGGACAGGCATCCAGGCCTGCTCTGTCCCCTGTCCCCTGGGCAGGAGCAGACAGGCCCTCAGAGATGGAGCCCGTCCTGTCATGCAGATGGGGAAGCCAAGCGCAGCAGGCCCTTGGGTCAGTTAGTACTGGTCCTCAGGGTCCCCAGAGTCTCCCACATTGACCCCCAACCTAATGAGCAGCCAGCAGCCTGGGCTCACCCTCCTCAGCGCTGGCCTGTGGAGAGGGTCTCCCAGGGCCGCCCCAGGGGCTGGGGACCCAGAAGTGGAACCCCCCAGGCCAAGGAGGGCTCCTGCCTCAGCTCCTTCTGTATCCCAGAGTGTCACTCCCCTTTGGCACCCAGAATGGGAGGATGTGACGCAGAGCAGAGCTCCCTCAGGGCCCCCTCAGGGCCCCATAGCCAAGGCCCTCCTTCCCTCAGCCTAAGAGACAGGGATGTGGCCCGGTTACACGTGAGGAGATCTGGCTCAGGACGATGCCAGGACTCTGCCTGTATCTGAGGGCCTGACCCTGGCCTCCAGACCCCAAGAAGATGCACGGGGCGCTCTGACTCTAGTTGCTAGCCATTCACGCCTCTCCAGCAAGTCAGAGAGTCACAGCGTGGTCACGTGGGCCCAGCCAGGGATGACCCGGGCGGGGAACCCCTGCCCGAGCTGCTGGGCCCAGAAAGCTGCTGGCCTTGACCTTCTGGGAGGTGCGTGTGTTCCCGCTCCTCCCGGTTCAGGTGCAGGCTAGCCCAGGCGCGAACCCCAGCTCCACCTGAGGGTTTAAAATTCAGAACATAAAAGTCAGGACTGAGACTCGACGACAAAACTACAACCCGATCTAAGGTGGACGAGGGATAGGAGCAGACATTTCTTCTCCAAAGAAGATACACAACTGACCGCCGAGCACACGGGAAGGGGGCCTGTGAGCACAGCAGTCATGGGAAGTGCAGCTTCTCGGTGAGTGACCACCTCCGGCCAGCAAGGGTGGCTAGAGCCAAAGAAGGGAAGCAAGTGAAGACGCGAGGAGCCGCAGCCCCTGGCAGCCCTGCGGGTGGGCATGGTGAGGAGAGGGGCCTTGCCGGTCCCCGAGATGGCAGACGTGTCATGACCACCTGGTCCTCCCCGCTTAAGCATGTGCCCGGAACTGGAGATGAGGGTCCAACCAGGTGCCATGGCCTGCTCACAGGAACCTGCGTGTCCAGCCGGGGAAGACCGCGCAGAAAATGTGTTGGTCGTACACAGAACGGCGTTTGCCATTTTTTTTTTTTTTTTAAGTGAAGGAATATCATAGCAGTCACCGGCCCCAGCACGGGTGGACCTCAGGGACCAGACACCAGAAGAATGTTGTCTGACGTCACTAGGAGGAAATACCCAAGGGACGCATCGAGGGTGGGAAAGTGCAGCAGACGTCACCCGGGGTGCCCGCTGGGGCTGGGTTTCTGTTTGGGGTGACAACAAAGTTTCAGAAACAACAGTGATGGCTGCACAACACTGTGGATGTCACTAAGGCCACCAAGCCTCACACTTAAAAACAGTTGAAGTGGCACCTTGTGTGGGTCATATATTTTACCATGGTAACAAAAAGTTTTTAAAAGTCCCAGCTTCCTTGGGCTGGGGATGTGGCTCAAGCGGTAACGCGCTCGCCTGGCATGTGCGGGGCACTGGGCTCGATCCTCAGCACCACATACAAATAAAATAAAGATGCTGTGTCCGCTGAGAACTAAAAAATAAAGATTAAAAAATTATCTCTCTCTCTCTCTCTCTCTTAAAAAAAAATTAAAAGTCTCAGCTTCCCACACGTGACCTTTGTCTGAGCTCCCTGGGAGGATCCCAAAACACTGTCCCCGGAGCCTTGCCAGCTCACAGGGTGGACATGGGGACAAAGCTCGGGGCAGCTGACAGAACGCCACCTGAGAGGCTCACACAGCGTGTTTCTGGGACAGGAAGGTGTTGGGGACATGGTCATGGACTCCCAGGGGTGACGGTGTGCCCGCTCGGCCCTGCCCGCTTGGCGTCACCCTGGCAATTGTTGCGTGTGTGGGATGAGGGGAGAGCTGCCCGGCTCTGTGCTGCCCCAGAAGCCCCCGAGGAAGCCTGCAGGGCAAGGCCAAGGCCTCTGTCCTCCGCAGGGAGGGGGAGAATAACAGACCCCCAAAGATGCCACATCCTAAGCCCGTCATCTGTGACTGCACTCGGTTACACAGCAAGGGCGGGTGGGCACACGGGCTTCTAATCGGGGAACCTGAAATGGGGATTCCTGGATCAAGCTGGGGGCCATGGCCGTCACGAGGGCCCCGGGGAGTACAGGAGGGAGGCAGGGGCGGAGGTCTCTGTGCTGCGACACAGGACAGACTGGTCCTGCCACAGCTGCTTTGGGACACCAAGGAAGGAAGGGGCGTGCAGAGGAACGTGGGCGACTCCAGAAGCTGGGAGACAGGAAATGGATCCCCCAGCCTCCCAAAGGGACGCAGCCCTGCTGACACCGGTTCCCGCCCAGCCAGGACCCGTGAGACTTGCTGCTGCCCCAAGTCGTGGGACCTTGTTCCCCCAGCTGCAGGAAACTGACGCGCACCCATGGCAGCCCAGCCCCTGCGCAGCCCTGGGGTGGAGTGGGAGGGCTTGGCCAGCCCTGCCAGAGCCTCGCTGCCCACCGCCCGGCCAGGGACGGGCCTCCAGGGCACCTCCCAGCTTTGACCCGCCCGTCCCGCAAGGGCAGAGCTCAGATGTGAAAGCTGGAAGGACACGGGCCTAGGGGACACGTGGGCCACACACTAGCCTTCCACTTGGAGGTGGGGACAGGGCCTGCTGCTCCACAGGGCGGCGGGTGGGACAGGGGCAGGGGCAGCCTCATCCCACCTTCTTCTGACCCAACAGGGCCAGGGTCAGCAGCGACACTCCGGGCCGGGCTGGGCTGCAGTGTGGTTGGGAAAACGGGTGCTTCTAGGGGCAACCAAGGGGCTGGGGGTCCACCAGCCACAGCCAGGCAAGAGGGGGTCTTTGTGACAGGCAGGGAAGAAGGAGGTACCATCCTCTCTTCAGGACCTGGAAGGCACCGCACAGCCCTGAGCCTGTGCACCCCAGGAGTCAGGCTGGGCTCCACCCACCTGCCTCTCACCAGGGTCCTCCGGGCACCAGCCTCGCTCTACAGGGTCCTCAGAATAGCAGCAGGTCCCCCACCTGCCCAGACCCTGCAGGGGATTCACCAGCTCAAGGCCCTCGGCTTCCACAGAGCAGGTGGCCCCTACTTCCCCTTGGAAGGACGCCAAGTCTTAGAGCGAGAGGGTGGGGCCTGCCACACCTGCACCAGGTGAGCCACAGGCAGGTGAGCTGTGGGGCCGCAGGGCCTGGGTCACCTGGTTCTTGGATCCAGGCCAGACCAACAATACTCTGCTCCTCAGAGGCAAGGGCAACAACAGAGCCCAGAAGCCAGGACCTTGGCCAGTGGGCCCCAGTTTACCTGTCTGTTGAACAGAGATCACATGCTCTCCTGTGGGATGGGTTGGAAGCAAGTGAGAACACACTTGGGGTCCCCCAACCCAGGCCAGCTTCAGGGAGCCTGGTGCCCCATCCTCCTCTTCCCAACGGTTCCAAAGGACCCAAGCCCTCTCTCCTCAGGGACCCACAGCAACTGAAGAGGACAGCAGAACCCGGGCCTGCCTGGCCACCCTGAGGCTGCCCCTTACACCCCCAGGGTCCGTAGAACCGCAGTGCCAGGACTGGGAGGAGCACACCCCTGAAACCTCCTCTCAGCGGACGCTGGGCAGTTCCCAGCCTGGCCAGGCACAGGCTCGTCCAGCAGGAGTCCTCACTCAGGCAAGACCCCAACAGGGGCCTGGGGAGCCTCCCAGTGCC